GGAACCCTACAGCTCCCTCAGAATAAGATTCAGAGAAATCGGAAAAAATCATCTGAGTCAAAGATTAAGGCCTATCTAACTGAGGGAATGAACTAGTCCAACTCTTGTTCAAATATCAACAAATGCCTTGTAAGAGCCCCCAAGACTTTTTAGAAGGCTCAAAGTTTTCATCACAAAACATTCATCAAGCCTTCCAGACGAAACTCTTGTCACAAGGGGGTAAGATATCTATGAGATTATGGTGATTCATCATCTGCTTCACAGTCTAATCTTACCCTAGCAACATGAGTTTTTCATTCAAGACTCAACAGTCAGACCGTGAGAGCAGATCTACTAACTCAAGCAGATCAAAGGAATTCAGAACGACCAGGCAACGTCTAGATGACCGAAGGAACACCATGACAGATCGATAGCCCCAACTCAACTGAGTCTTGAATGTGCCTAGTCGACCCAAGCATTACAAGTAATTGTCGACCGAACAATAGGATTGTCGAACTATAGGCTCCTTTATTTTGTATATGCTCAAAATGTCGTGTAATGCCTCAATAAAAGTAGAGGTAACCATGTAGTTCTTCACTTTATACCCACTTATCTATAAATAGAGGGGTCATTTCTACAGTAAAGGGTTAATCAATCACCTTTAATGAATCAAATTCTTAATGTTCACTCCCTCTCTCTCTTATTTTACTCTATTCTTTGAGTCTGATTCACATGATAGATTTAGATTCAACAAAATCAAATAATTTTAATCTTATTCTAGAAATTTCTAACAAAGTAAGTGTTCTCCATATTATAAACTTTGCAAATTCAATTAAAAAAAAGACACGAAACCCAATTTGTGGCAATTTTTTACTGTCAGTATTCCCTTGTTCTTAAAAATGCATACATACTGGCAAATTCTTTCGCATGGATTGCTCTTTTGCACACGTGCTTGCTTATGTTATTAATCCATAAAAGAATACAAAGAGATGCCTCTTCCTTGCAGTTCATATTATTGCATGCTATCCTTGTGTTGAGAGGAATGATAGAATTTTCAAAATGCTAGCAAGGCAATTGATATGTTAGTAGAAAACATTCTTATTGGTATTCATAAAAAATGCAAGAGATGGAATTCTAAAATTGATGTTCCATGCAATGAGTTGAAGCTACACTTGGTATCTGCCTTTGCCTACCATTCAGGACTAGTTTATCTTCCAGTTTGCCAAGCAATGAGTTGAAGCTACACTAGAGATAGAATCCCTTCTTCCAGTTTGCCAATCACATTCTCCCTAGTTACCCTGCTTTGGTTTCTTTTAGATCAACCTGCTCATAATATTGGTTTATAACCCTTGTATTTTAATGTAAGGGTTTTATTTTATTTTGAGTAATAATAGTGGTTGTGCGAGTCCTCAACTGTTCTCAGATTAACTGAGTGTGTGCTCTCAAATGCATGCAACCCTAAACCTGCTGTTCCCATATTATCAATGGCTGTTACACGCAAACATCTCTTTGCGGTCCTGCTGCAGAACAAGTTCTTGCTGGTTACCTGCAATTTTCACTTCCTCTGATGGTTCCCCCATTAGCTTTTAAATCTCTATGACCTATATTTTTTCATTTTGCTTCAACTATTATATTTCTCCATTCTCTCCCAAAATCTACTCTTCTATATTAATGTAAAGACTTCATTTTTTTATTAATAATAAGATTGGTTGAACAAATTACACCAAGAATTTGTTGTTCTCATATTGGTTGAATGTGTGCCCCTAGATGCATGCAAAGTTTAACCTGTTATTCTGATTTTTTCAATGGTTCACTCACAAACTCATCTTTGAGATCCTCCTTAAAAACGAGGTCTTGCTGGTTGCCTGCAAAATTTGTCTCTTGACGGTTCCATTATTAGCATTACTTTAGTTGCACGCATTTTAGATCTGTGAGTGATAATTTCCTTTTGTTGCTTATGAAGTTATATTTCTCTCCACAAAATTTGCTTTTTGAGTTGCAACTCTTCTTGAATGTTAATGCCAGGCTTTATTTTATCTTAATTGATACCACCCGTGCACCTGATGCTCAAATTGGATGAATGAATGCAGCCCTGAACCTGTTGTTATATTCTCAATAGTTCACTCAATAACTGTTTTTGGTCCTGCAGCAGATCAAAGTCTTGTCTTTTGCCTCAAGATTGTCCACTATTACCATTATTTTAGTTGCACAGATTTTAAATCTCTGCGCCTCAAAAATTTCTTCTCTTTTTTTTTTTTTGGCATCTTGTGCTATTATATTTTTCTCCTCTCTCTACAAATTCTGTCTTTTGGATTATAACTCTTCTAGTAAGTTAATGCAAAGTCTTTATTTTCTCTTGATAAATGATATATAAAAGATACATGAGCAAACTACAAGTAAAAGGAGTTAGCAATGGAAAAATATATTAGATGTCATCAAGATCCTCACTACTTCGCTTTGAGAAGGTAAAGGTCTGACTCACAGGATTCTTTTCAATATCTTAAAATGGATAAGTTAATTCAAATGATACATCTTTCTAGTTCACACACATGCAAAGCAACATTATAAAACAGAGCATGCAATCGATAGATACCCGGGAGGGATACATATGAAACTTCATATGTGAACAGTTGGTGGGAATTATTATTCAGTAGTCATTTAAGTAACAAATTGCTCCTACAACAGATTTATTTCTATTTATATGTTCTTGGTCATTTCAACTTAAAATTATTTAAAAAATAGAAATGCAAGTCTGCAATACCAAGATTCAGCACATTTATTTATTGATAAAAACTTCAATTTAATGACGAATATGACATAAATTATGAGAACAGAACAAAAACTAAATATAAAGATGAACATTGAAATTGGAATTAAGAAGGCAACAACAACATAAACTAATCAGGATAACTTCATTAGAAAAAAGCACTCTGATGATCAAGCTGGGATAAGCATTATACATTAGCAAAAAAATATATGCTGGAAACAAAAGTAAAAGAAGAGCTGTCTGCAGCTGGATAATCTAACGAAACAACTGAAACAGCAGATAAAATGGGCAGAAAAAAATGATGAAACAGATAAATTTAAACTAAGCATATCATAAACAGCTTTATCACTACAGAATCAGATAAATAATTCTTTTCACACAAATAAATAATGAATGCTTCTAGGTTGATGGGCCTGACATTTACACAAAATGTGATATGAATCTATCTCTGAATGGATTGGTTTAGCTCCAGTGGCAAACAAAATTATAAAGTCATCTTAGAAGATTTGGTCACAATAAATGTCAACCATCTGATGATGCGGTTAGGAGAATCAATAGTTAAGATTCGAAAAATAATCTTACTCTATTAGAATTAAATGAAAATTTGACACTTAATAGGACAGAATGGAGAAAAAGGATTCCTGTAGCCAGCTCCACTTAGTGGATAAATGCTTGCTTTGTTGTTGTACACAAATAAATAATGAAGAACTCAAAATTTAATAAATTAAGTTAGGCAACAAAAGAATATTATGCTACTACAACTATCAGGTTTGGTTTTAAGAATACACTATCATTCCATCCATTCTCATAGAGTCAGACAATGATATCTTTACCATCCAGCATGCAAATGCTTTCGTGCAATGTGAACAAATATAATATTTGATCTACGTGCTTTTCCTCCAGTTTCATATTTATAAATGGAATATTAAATCACAGCAAATTAAATCACTACATGGTACTTAATTAATTATAAGCTCATAATTCCAATTTATTGTTTCCTGACTATATACTTCATACATTTGCCACATCCATTTCTACATCACTTTAAATGGTAGTCAACAAATTCTGTTGCCACACACTAAACATAAAACTAAATCAGTCCAACTTCAATTTTATAATTTAACTTTTATCTTATCATGATTTCTCTTTTAATTCATACTTGCATCATACTCTCAAAATCATTCCTCTAACCACATAATTTTCCATTTTAAACTATCCCCATTGCTTCAATATATAATAAATTGAAACATATTCAAATATGTAACATCTAAATATCACTATTGTGTTCAACATTCTCCGCTGATCATCATCAACTTCATCCGCTAACATGTATCAGTTTTCAATCACTGGTCCACTAATCCTAAAGTCGACACCTTATAAAAGTTTACCCATTTAAATTCAAATACTCAATATGGAGATGGGAATTCCCATTTGCAAAGTCTTCTTCCAGAAAGTGTACTTTTTTTTTCCTTTTTCATTTTTAGCAAGCAGCAGCCACTATAAAACTACTGCATTCAGCAACATATGTGAATCTTAAGGTGAATTCCTGCTTTGCCACCCATATAACAATAATCTGGGAATTTCCAATTCGTTGATGGATTTCCTTCGCTGACTACTTAAAATTAACAAATAAAACATGTTCCCTATATATGCAAAACAGCCATTTAAAACAAATGAGACAGAATTTGCATACCAAAAAGAAAAGACTTTTTGGTGTTTTTTTGTTGAGAATAAGAACCGGCTTCAGCACAACTCAAACTATGCTTATATGGTAATGGTATTGAATAAGGTACACAGACTAATCGCTGCAATGTTTTTTGAGGAATAAATTTCAAGGTAACCATTTCTGCTAATAGAAAACTCTGCCATCTGATCAATCTGAATAATGATCAGCCTAGAAAACCCATCTACTGTATGTCTACGAGCGCTTTATTGAAAATATTCTAGTAAACTAAGAAATTTGAGCAGATGAAAGAATCATCATTTGGAAAACATCCAACAAGGGATGAGATAACAGGTAGAAGGCTTGTTTTTTAATCCTAAAATCCATATAAAACCTTATGCAACAAAAAATAAATAAAAAATGACCAACTAAATATACTGCTAACTAAAACTCAGTATGTTTTTCTATCTATCTATGCATATAACTATCTATCAATCAATACATATGTTTCTTACCGCACTAAACTCTCATATCAACTGAAAGTAAGGCAATAAACATTCTATCTAGAAATCTTTTGCAACATAGACAATCTAATAAAATGTGACCACCCCGTGAGTTATAAATGCATCCATATAACAATTAAGAAGTAAATACAACATCTAGGATTCAAGGAATGCCACTCAAAATGTATGGGTGTATCTTTAGCACAAGCTAACCTGAAAACTGACCAAACATGAACTCCAATAAAATAGACTGGATATAATAGCAATCAAAAGGAGCTAGCTAAACAACACACTCTTTGTTAAACTTGCTTTTCCTCCCTTTCCCTATTCCACTGCTCAATCCTAGCCCTCCGCTCTTCACTTCCATCTCTAGCTGGGCTCCTAGACCGTCTTGGACTCCGATGCCTTCGCCTCCCTCCATCATCATACCTCCCATGCCTATCTCCATCATCGTACCTCCTATCTCCGCTTCTCTTTCCACGAAAATCCCTTTCACGACTATCATGCTCACGATGCTCCCTCCGTTGATGAGGACTGGGACTCCTGCTCCTACTTCGACTTCCCATAGACCTCCTATACCGTCCAAAAAGCTTCCTCCTCAACTCCCTTCCAATCTGCTTAACATGCATAAAGTTGCAATAACCACCTCTATTGCAACTATTTTCCTCAAACTGGCGGCATGTGGCCTCCCGAAAGTCTGTAACAGGCGAGAAATCAACAATTATTGGACGGCCTGAATAAAACCTCCCCTGAAGTGCCCTCAAAGCTGCAGCAGCCTGATCCTCCTCCTTGAACTGTACATATACATTGCCTACCATGTGGTCAGCAAGGTTGTCACAGATGTTAAGACTCTCAATCTCTCCAAATTTGCTCAGCTCTTCAAATATATCCTCATAAAAGTCCTCAAAATGTTCCTGGATCTTTCGGGGATCAATAGGCTGGCCTTGGGCATCAACACCAGGAGTGATCATGTCTGGCCGCTGGTACATATTCGAGAGCAGAAGGGTAGGGGAAATTGTTGGCTTGTTGTGGAGGCGAGAGCACCGGTCGCCATGCCGACAAGCTCCAATCTTGAAGTAGAATGGGCAGTTGACACGATCCTTCTCAGTGCCAAATATTGATGCAAGATGCTCAGCCATTGCTGTCAGCTAGTTGATCAGATCAAAGACTTCAACCACCTAAGAAATCCTAGCAGGGCATGAAACAATAATCAGAATTAATTTTACAAAGAACAATGAAAGAGGCTAAAATTCATTACGAAGTCAAAGGAGATAATAAATTACAAAAGTACAGAGGATTCTCAGTTACAAACAGCAGCAGGAAAGAAAGAAACAGAACATTCAGCAGGCAATAAAAACAGAAAAGATATATCACAAATCTAAACGAAATGAAAAATAGAAACATAGCAGGTCATCATCATCATCATCTGGTTCATCCAAACTAATTGGCGAAAAATATCCTCTTTCCTCATTGTTCTTTCTTTTCAAAATCAACAAAGCCCCCAAATAAAGGGAAAAAAATGAAAATAATAATAACTTATCAAGAATGGTTACCATTTCAGGGCAACGAACCATTATAACCTTCGCTTTCAACACACTATAGACAAACGAAGGATAGTTAGTGCTCAGAAATCAAAAAATTAGAAAATTAAAAAGAAAAAAGAAAAAGATCCGCGTGAATGCAAAACCCTAATGTTTGAAGATCAGAAATGTTAAAAAAAAACAACTTTCTAGTGCATAAATAAACCAAATGGACTAATAAATCAGATACTTGTTCATTTCTTACAAAAAGCAACGGAGGCCAATCCACAGATCGAAGGCCTAACTCAACCCAAGTACCTAAACGACCATCACGAACTGCAAACAAAACGGAAAAAAAGAAACACAAAGAAAGGAGCATTAGTGAATCAGAAGAAGCAGACCTCTTTGGGCGGTCGATAAAGAGAACCAGGCTTGGAAAGAAATGGCTGAAGGGGGTCGATTAGGGTTCCGCCGGTGGAACTTCACGGGGTGCAAAAACGAACTCGGACGGCGAAATGGAAATGGAACATGGTGTGGGTTTTAAATAGATCGATCCCGACAGCAACGATCATAGCCGTTCATTCCTAAGCTCATATGATCAGACGGCGAAGATTCAATACGACACGTGGCCGCGAGCTCGTGGCATCACTTTCCATCTATTTGAGTGAATTTTGTCAAGCCCCAAAATCCGATAATTTTATTTGTTGAACCCTAATCTCTAATTCCAATCGACAAGGCCAACAACTAGCACCTATCTCTTTGTTTAGATGTCCTTTGTTTGTGCTTTTCATGGGTTTTCAAATCAATTCTTTTGATATCTGATCTTTTTTTCGTATTTTTTTCATAATAAAGTTGGGCGTGACACTCAATTTTTTTATAAAAAGATTGTCAACTGACAATGGCAAGGACGAGAAAAAGAAGGGCTATGCCTCTTGAATAAAAAAAAAACTATCTTTAATATGTTTATTTTCTAGTGATTTAGAAGCTTAGCTTATGCTTTTATAGTGCTTTTCTCATATTTTTCTTTCTACCTTTAAAATGTGGGACTAAGATGTTCTTTCTTTGTGCAGCCGAGCCTCGGTGTGGTCCTGACCGCTGGAAGCAAGCGCCCTTCTTTCCCTGAGTCATGTCATCGTTTATTTCTACCCGCAACAGCAGTCTGCAAATCCACAGCCCACCAATATTTGTTTTGTCACGTCCTCAGTCTTTTATTATATTGATGCATTGATTGGTTGGAATTTTGTAAATGATTAATTAATTATGTTGATGAAAACAAAGTTTAATTATTTTTCAAAATAAAGGGGTGAAGAACCCCTACTTGATCAAAATTTACAAACATACTATCCAAATTTAACCTTTTTAAGCCTTCTTAGATACATACCAACCAAATTCTATTTATTTGCAAATATAACATCTCAATTATATTTTTTTTATAATTATACCACCTAAATATAATATATAT